TGCACTTAAGACACCAAAAAAACAAAGCAAAACAAAAAAACACAACACCCAACATGCACCTAGAACATTTAACATGAAAAACTGCTGGTCAGTAACTCAAGCTCAGAGATTTGAACTTAAACTAAGTGCTGTCTCGCAACAAACATTGGTAATATTTTAAATCCAGGAAAAAAAAGGATACAATATGATTTCAAGAACATCAATGAAACCATAGCTGTATCAATACAGAAAACAATTTAATTTGTTTTGAAATAAACGTTTGAGATACAAAGCACATACAGTGAAAAGGGTCACAATAAATTACAAATGGAGATACTTGCTCATTCACTGAGAAAAGCCCTTGATATTTCCAATTTCACACCATCAAATTTATCATTCTTGCTGATTTAAGCACAGCACTAAACAAATATGGATCCCAGTGCTTTCCTTCACAGGTACTGGCATGGATAATTTACTGCAGTGATCCAATTTGAAAATCAGTAGGGACCAGTAAATCGCTGCATAAAAGAAAGAGCGAATGAGGTGCTTTTTCCTTAGTGTCAGCAGCCTGTGATTATTATGTTTATTAGATTTTCTCGAAAGGGCTTCACATTTTCTCAAATATGCAGGAGAACTATATTTCCCCTCTGAGCCCTCACATTAGCATTTTGTGCCTCAGTCCTTGAATACAAGTAAAAGATGAATTTTTCAATTCATTTTAGAAGTTTGTACCATCTGGATGGCATGGAACTAAGCAATGAAACTCCCTTACCTGCACAATATCTGCTATTATCACAGAGCTAGCTTCTGCAGAAAAGTTAATAAGTAATGCTGACATTTTATGAAAGACATTTTTGAATCCACATTTAAGATTAAATTCAATTATGCTATCCATACTGATAATGCATGTTTGAAATAAAGGATTGCTTAACGTTCTGTCCTTAGAAGGCAATTTAAAACAGCAAGGCCTGACTCTTCCTGTGATTTTAAGAAACTTATAGCACGGTAAAAGTTACAGTACAAATATACACTAACCAATTTCAGTATAGTTTAACTGCAAAAACTTGCACTGCAGCAGTTAAAAATTGTAGACTATTACAACAGATCAGCATATCCTACTAACATCTAGCATATAAGTGCTCATGATCTTATTCTGTTATTTTCCCTCACCAGAAAGATGAAGATACCAGGGGCCATACCTAGCTCTTGCACGTAGGAATCAATTTTTGACATTTCTTTAAAAGGACATGCTGTTCTATCTTAATGGTCTTTGCTACCCTTAATCAGAACGCCATAAGGTACAGTATTTTTGAAACCGTTTAAGCAGCAGTTAATATCTTTTTGGAAACGGGACCAAGAAGTCATGTGGGGTAGAAACAAATCACAGTTACCCCTGGACACTTGTCCAACTCTCTTTTTCTACTTCCTGCTCTGCCAGAGCTTTTACACTGCCTCAGGCGATTGCTCTTTCCTTCCATGCCTCAGTTCCTGTCTGTAAAATAGGCAAGACTTAATTAACAAGGGATGTGTACGGCAAGTGTTGCAATACAGGTGCCTAATGATAAAAAAGTCCAACACAGACTGTACAAAATAACCAGTTATGTTATTCATTTGGACAGTACTATCACACAGATAGTTAGCAGCTCAAAAACTGTTGGAACAAATAGTGGCTCATGATGGTAATAGATTTTAAAAAAATCCTTAAAACATGTAACTTAAAATATTAACAGACATTGTTCCCCTTGAACATCCATCGAGGGGAGCAAAACACAAAAATGACAATAAAAGTATAAAATTAAATAAAAGACATTAAAGGAAAGGATGGATGCGTTAGTGAATTACTTCATGTGTAAGAAATCCCAACTGGCATTGGCTACGCCAGCAGATCTAGCGGGTCCTGATGCTTTACTTATCTACAGGCGAGAACAGACAAGTCTTATGCTGGAGAGTTACTTCTACAGCAAGCTTGTGCACAGCAAGGGGTAGGTCTACCCACAATTTATGCAACAGAACTTCAACTTCTGAAAGCTAAGGCAAGAAAAACAATGACCGGTGTGATTTATACCAGTGGAAACAATTACCACATTAGGTAGACAACCCTACGGTAGGACAAAAACTCCTTTGCTTCACAGTTGGGATCAGCAGGCATTTTCTGGTCAGTTGCAAAAATTTCTCTACCCCAGACTTCTGTTACAGCCTCTGCATAACAGCTAGCTGTTGACAGCACAGCAGCACAAATGAACATACAGTTCTTTTCACCAGCAAAGTCTCAAGCTCTCAGGGCACAACCAGCCTTTCATGTCCTTAAATTAATCATTAGTATAGAAACGGCCACAAACTGTGATAAGGAAGCAGGCACAAAGATAAAATGTTTTTGCCAGCGTTGAGGAAACTCAGCCATATGACTGAGGCAACCTAATGGCTACAGTAAAAATCAAAGTTGAAGCAGAGTGCAGGTCAGTTGCCCTATTTATTTTGCTTGGAAGTTATTCTTACCCCATTGTTCCATGCTTTCTTGGCACATCAGAGGGGTAAGTTTTACCAGGCCACAGGTAAAATCCAGGCTTCATTTGTCAAGCAACTCCTTGCAAAGCAAAGAATATTCTACTAGCCACATAAATCAAATCTCGTTTATGAAAGACCTTCTTCATCCATTTTTAAGACTTTACAGAAAGAGTTAACAAGAAATTCAGTGTTCACATAAAAGCTCTACTTCATGGCACTGTCTTCCAACTCTCTACATACTGAGATCTCATTCACGTATTCCTTTTAATCTTTCTCGTCCATTCATAGAGTTAGACTTCACGACTTCGCATCCTTCAGTTACAGTTGCAATACATCAGATCCAATTTAGACTCTAATTTAATGACAGCATATAATTAAAGGAGCAGTAGACCGCACCCGTAACAGCAGTCTCGGACCACAAAAATTTGCTCAGAAGTAACATGTTATTTTGCTTATACTAATTACGGAAATATTTATTTGCCTTCTACTCCCAGTATGAGGGGACCAACGTACGTGATCAAATTGATTTTTAAATCACAGTGAAGCAAAGAGCTGAACAGTCTGATGTCACCACTTGAAAAATACACCACGTAACATGAAAGAGAGTCTAGAAAAGCGCTGAAGAATTGAAATGGCAAGAAGTAGGTCTGGATTTCTGCTCTGATTAGGTATCATTGTTGCAGTGCTTATTCTTAGGTTAAATTTTGAAGGAAAGGGTCATAAAATTTTACACTTTAGAACGCAAAAATTCCCTCTAAAATAATTTAGAAATGCACAAGACGTTATGTCCCAATTCAGAAGTAGCAGTGGGAATATAAGAACATGCACACATACACACAGGAGAGCATTCTGCTCAACTTCCAGGTTCAAGCATCAGTATGTTCTGTCAGAGAGGAAAATAAGCTTAAAGAGCCTAGCAAATTACATTTAACACTCCTTTTATTGCAGTAGAAACTTTAGTTTTTATAAAATCCTCAAATTACAAGATATACATATAGTGAATCTCGTTGCAAGTCTTTAGCAGCTGTAGAGCATTACTGCATGCAGTCGCTTCTGCAGTGTGCAAGTGTTCTATAAATAGCTAATCATGTTCAGAGAGCAAGACAAGTAGTCAAAGAATATCATATTCAATTACCAATTGGTTCCTCAGTACCAAGAGGTTGAGCAAAAAATGAAGTAAGTTTATAAATATATGGCTCTGATCTAATAAACTAATACAACTGCGAAGTCTGAATGATATCCACATCACAAACAGGATAACTCAATAGTAACAGGAAAATAGTTTGCTTCAAGACTGTTTTCAAAAGTGTTTCACATAATATTTCGTTGACCAAAGAAGAATAGTTAACTATGGTGCTACAGAAGTTTACAAAAGGCCAATGAAACCCCTTTAATTTTATGCAATTAGAACATTAACTACAGAAGATTAGGCAAATACTTTGCTTTGAATTTATGGAAAGAAATTGTGTTGAGACAGATAATATTCTTTTTCCACAAACTACCTTTCAGCTGCTGGGTGAATGCATAAACAGCACTCAATTTAGTACTCACATCTGTAGTCATGACACTGGCTTCAGATCAGTCATCGGATGGATTTATGCCAAAAAAAAAATCCTACACTCATTTGTTTCAGAAGCTGCCTGAACAGGTGCAATCCTTTACGGAAATTTTCCATCAAGAAGAGAGTCTCAGAAACTGGAAGAACAATTTATATAAAGCTAGCTACAGATTAATTTTCTAAAAAGCTGACATGCTTCAACTACTGCAGTCTCACATTTGGGTAAACAAAAGAACAAATTTGCAATGAGTCTGCAAAAGTTACTTCATTTATATTGATTAGTTTACTTAAGAGATGGTTAAAAGTTTAAGCATTGCATCTGTCTGAAAAGCCTACAGGTCAGCAATTTGGCTTGGTAAAACATCTTCTTATGACAAGATAACTGCAGAGTTTTCTGTGATCAGTCTTGAGATTTCTTCCGACAATGCAATGTAAGACTATATCACAAGGCAGAAACTTGAAAGAGTTCATTTTAAGTAATATTAATAAAAATAGCCTCTCCTTCAGAAAATGTGTGAACTATGCCAGCTTGACTGAATTTAACAAAAGGGATTAAAGTCTAAGTGGGCCATATCTTTACAGAGTATAGGAATTTAAACAAAATCGTTCTACAGATACATTTAGTAAGCAGAAGACTACTGTCCAAAGTGTACTGCATAGGTATGTGCACCAACTGCTATCGACTGGAGACATCCTATAGTAGCTATAGTTCCAATTAACATAAACCTACTGAGCACAGACTTCTTGAAGTTTTAATCAACCTCTAACAATTCTTGACTCCTAAAAAAACAATTCTGTATGACTGGGCATGTTTTGGATAGGATGCAGCTACTTTTTTTTTTTTTCACCAATTAGCAATACAGCACAGTAATTTTAAGTTTCCATGACTTGCTTTTGATATGCTAAATTTCATATTATCTCCAAGAAAAGCATATACACATTTTTATACAGCCTGGAGTGAGATCAGTGTAAAACCAGGAATTTTATTATCAGCAGCAGAAGTGCCAGCTGCTCATAACGTTCACAAAACACAAGTGCCTGAAATTTGGCTATGCAACAGTTGGTGCCAATCTGCTTATAAAGGAAATGCTGCTGAGGCATAGTCTTCTCACAAAAACAGGGCATGAGGGCTTCATTATTAAGTGTTCAACAACGATCCTCAGCTCAGTGAAGAGAGTCCTGAAAAAAGAGATTTAAAGAGAGTATTAAAATCCTACAGCATTTATCAGAAATAAGTATCTTCTAAATCTATCTTTTTCACTCACTTCTTTCCTCAACACCCACCACACACTGTAGTTAGCAAGTTCTTTAGATCAACTCACTGTTGCAGTATCTCGCAAGAGCTTCAGAATTCTTGTCCTTTAAACATTAACATTTTAATTAACTTTAGTTCATCCACTTACAGCTGAGGACAGCAGAAACTTACAGCTATAAAGACAGTAGAAAGATTCCACCTTCAAGCGAAAAAAAAAAATAAAACACCACATACCCCCCCACCACATTCAACAAACCACTATTAAAAAAAAAAAAAGAGTAATGCTTTATCAGAAATTGTGTAAGGAGCTAGGAGATCATCATGTGTTTGCACTGCTTCTTGCCAGAAGAGAAAAACCCTGCACTCTAGAAGCCAAGTATTAAAAGGCAGACATTAGAAACAAAATCCACAACACCAGTTTCCCTTAACAATACATAAATGCCAGCAGAAAAATTTTGGATAAACTAGTTATACTGAAAGTCAGTTTTAATATTGCACAACTTAAATTATTTTTAGATACCAAAGTAGTAAATCACCTTCACAGATTTAATTTTTTTTCTGTTAAAAAAATACATGTACTAAGATGGAACAACTGATTTCTTACAAAATAGTAGGGAATAGGAGGCAATAAAGTTTATGATTCTCAGACCTGTCTTCACAAATCACGGCAACCAAAGCCAATTCCTTGGTACTTTAGCAAACCATTTTCTAATCAAGTAGCAATCAGACTGGAAAGTTATGTTCACAGAAGTCTTACACTATGCAATGCTTGTCATAGAAAAAGTTTCGAGAAAGCACTGACCCGAGCAAATCCTCATAGAAATATTTACGGTTTCAAAGCTTAAAGCAATAGTATTGGCTTGACCAACTTTCATACTAAATCAATAAGGCACTATTTCAGTTATAAATAAACTGTCTTATGAATTTAACTAAAGAACATAATGAACACGTTTACAATCATCCATAGATTTTTTTTTTCCTGTCATAAGTTCCTAACTGCCTGTTCATGTATAGACTTAGCCTCAGATAGTTCTAGAATCTAAAAATAAGGATATCTTTCTGGTAAATCATTGCAAAACAATTAAAAGACTCTTCTTCTCCCAAAGCACAGTTTTAATTACACACGCATGTTCTGAAAGCTCCCACTCAAGGATGGTGGTACATTTCAGAAAAGTTCAGTTACACAAAATAAATGTAACTTTGAACCAGCTGTGTTGGCTTTTTTTTAGCATCCAGGTATATCCCACATTTTTTAATTACCATTTGCAGATTTAGTATTGCGAGTTATCCATTCATTTTAGAATGAAAAATTTTCAGAATGCCTAAACACTATGTAGTTAAACGTTAACTTCCAAAATTAATTTAGTGCTTACCGACAGTAAGGATTTCGCCGAGAGGAGTAGCGTAAAGTAAGAAACCTATAGTAAATGAATGGCTGGAGCAGACTCCCTTGCCCACTGGAAAAGAAGAGAGAAGAGCGGCCTATTACTAACAAAAAAAAGCTCAAACATAACAAAAAACCCACCCCACAACAACAGGATTTTACCTAATAAAAGTAAGAAGACTACTCAGGCTCAAGAAAAGCTAGACTGGGATCACATTGGTTCAGATAATCTAGATCTGACAAGAAAAAGTACGTAACCATAAGCTTACCAAAGTGGAAGCTTATAGAAAAAAATGCTCAGCAAAGCAGTTAAAGTGCTGTTCTTGTATTGATTTTATTTACGAAGTTTTTTTATATGCCTCATTTCTGGTGATGGGCAAAGCATCACGGAGGTGATAGTGGATGCCTGTTCAGTATTAAGAAAAAGCTTGCTGGTCAAGCACAGAAATTGGCTAACAAATAGTCCAGTTACAGACAGATTTTTTTTTTTAGCTCTAATCATAGCACTTTGAGTATCTGGACCATATTTCTAGTATTTTTTACAAAACTTCTCAGAACACACTAGAAGCTATTATAGATATATTGAGATACTAATGCCAAGCTGATACCCTATTACTGAAATTAGGTTACACTGAAATTAGGTTTTGATACTTTAGAAAGCTGCTGCTTCACGACAGTGCTGTAAAACAGTGAAAGTATAGCATATAAACCATACATAGCAAAGCATAGAAATACTATGAGTTTAATTTTAATGACTGAAGCTTCTTTATATCACACAGTATTAAAAAACTCTGTCTGAAGTTCAACATGACAGTTCCAGTAACTAGAGCTCCTTCAAGTATGAGCAACATCTTTATCCAGAAGGAAAAAATATCAAGTAAAAAGGAAAGTGAGCTACAGGAGGGGAAAAGAGGGAATCTTGCAGCTGTACAGTATTTACAAGCAATTTAATATGCTAAAACAGTTTAAAGAACAAATTCTCACAACAGCTGTGTTTAACTATTAAACTATTTTAAAATTTGGTACATGATCTTTCACAAGTTTCAGTATCTACTAGATGACTGATCAAGTAGTGACACTTCACATACTAAATTCTCCATAGAAAGAGATGAAAAAAAAAAAGTTCTCCTGAAGAGACGTTTAAAGCACTTGAATGTTTCAGATACTGGATAGAGAGTGTGTCTGTCAGTTGGTAATTTGCCTTAAATGAAATGGAATCCTTCAGAGCTGAAGCACTGAAGTGTTCAGCTGACATATCAAAAGATAAAGCCAAATTATGCATTCTATCAACTTCCTAGAAGATAAAGCCTCACTTCTGCTGCCTGTGAGACCACTCAGGACAAATGCTCTCACTGTGCTATGACTTGTATAGAACAAAGGGCGTTATTCCCCCTCCAAACCCTAAAAGACAATGACCTAAACTTCAGTGACTGGCAGGTCGTTATGCCTATATGACTTCAGTAGGATTCCAACATGCATATTCTCAAGATCCCTAAAATTAATTCAACAAGGCTGCACAGCAGGCAAAACCAACAGAAGTTAAAAAAAAGACAAGGGTCACTGGTCAAAAGTAACACAGCAGAGGACATAATCTACTCCTGCTTGCACACTTTTAGCACAATTAAATTTCATGCCACTTCAACTTCACTGAAAGTGAACTCCTATTAAAGATTCCAGAAATTTAAGATCTTAATATTCTATTACACTGACCAAAATTAAGATTACTGAACAACACAGGAGAACGCAAGTTACATGCTTGAAAAACTTTAATTTGATCCAATAACGTCACTGATGCTGTGAAAGGGAAGGGTTCTTTGGCGCTCAGTTATATCAGAGTGAACACTTTGATTTCATGATGTACCAACTTGAGAAGTCTAGGATTCAAATTTAACTCTAAGTTCAAGCCTTGGTCAGGCAGAACCATATAAACGGAGATCTGTGACACAAAGAGAACTCAATTGCAAAAAGTAACCTTGCATAGAAAGTTTCTAATTTTGCATATATATATATATATGGTAATTCTTACCTGAAGAGCATAAAAACTGTAGCCGGCATCAGGAAAATTTCATTGCAAGCAATGAATTTTAGAATATTCTGTTGATTAGCACTCAGTTTCTCTAAAAGATTTCTCAGAAAGGGCAGACTATTTGAACTTCGTGCCTTTAAAGAAGAAAAAAGATTGCCAGAAAACATACAAGTTACACATCTTCTTTAGCGCAAAGAAATCAAAATACTAACAATTATCATTTACAACTCATTTCAGCGTTTTAAGACTAGATCTTTTAAAGGTATTGAGATTCTTATCCCAAAGTAAACTACCAGAAGTTTTGGAGCTCCATGATGACGGAGTTCAATTAAAAACACAAAATGTTGCAATTCCCTCACCCACTCATTTTAGGTTCAAGGGCACAGAGATGGCCACGAGTCTTATTCTATCCCCTAGGAGGAAGTGCCTATGGTAGCAAGATAGACCAGTTAGGAATATCAAAGGTTAGAGTTACATTAAGCTGCAGAAGACATTTAATCGAGCAGCAGGTTCACTGGCAAGTATTTTGCTTCCTGGCCTCACCCTGCACTTTGTTATTTTACTACTGAAACAGAACATAAAATTTCACAGGCTATGGTTTAGCTTGAAAAGACATATCTTAATTTTCACCTTAACTGTTACACAGCATTTGCTTCCTTCAAAGGAGAGCCTTTTAAGGAAAAATAGTGTTGACTCCAACATATCACCGTGTCATAACACAAGCGGAAAACCAAAACACTCCCAACTCAAGAAAGACTTCTCAGATTCTCTGTGCTGAGATTCCATACCACAATTTCACTTTAACTTCTCTAGTGCAGCTAAAGGAAACCATAGCTGCAACTCAAACTCATTTACAAACCCCAAGAATACCAACAGTATTAATTATATCTTACATTACACTGTACTTACATCAAGAACCTTCTTTGTGTATGTGGCAGCATGAAGCAAAGAGAACAGTAGAACTGGAAAAATACTCACTGAAGCAAGCGATAAGGAAAAATTATAAGCTGCAGAAGTGCTTCATTTCTCCATGATGTTATGCTAACACACAAGTCATAGCTTGATGGCTCTTTGCAAGAGGTTGGCTGGAATGACCTGTACTAGATTAAGACACGTATGTGTCTAACAACTATATTTATAACTCTTCCCTTTGCTTCTCATACCTCTTAACTATGCATTTTTATTAACTTCAAAACATCTGTGTATGCAGGTATGCAAAAGTACAACATACACCATTACACGGCAGTGCATTTCTATTGAAATGCATTCCTTCTGCATGAAAGACATACATGAGGTTACTACTCAAAAATCTATCAAATACATGTAGTCATAATATTTTTTAGTTAAGAGATGCTACAAAATGCTTTTCTTTACCAAAGAACATGCAGTTGCCAGCCATTCAGATCTGAGAGAGGAGGAACATAAACATTCCTATGCCAGAGACATTTAAAGAGCAGGACAGTCAAGTGTACACACAAAGTGGCATAAAGAAAAGTCAGTTTTTACATGTTACTTTGGACAAGCCACAGGAGTAAGTCTTTTTCGCAGACTTTAACTGTTTAATAACTTATCTGAAACAGCTACTGCTGAATAATTGTCTTTCTACGTGATGTATGTCCTACTTACAGTGAGGAGTCATATATAAACCCTGTACTGGTCATAAATGAAAGTTACCAACTTCTCTAAGTACCACTTGAGGCCGATAAAATCCACTGAACTCCAGTCTCAGGAAAAGAAAATCTAAGTAGCCAGAGACTGTAGTGCACTAGTTACAGAGGTGATTAACCTGAATATTCGTCAATCAACACAAGCCTCTCCTATTTTACATAGAGTAAGTTCTATGAATAGCAAATGTATTCTAGTTTAAACTAGTTTTTCAAATCACGGCACAGAATCAAGCTTTTAAGATATTTAAAAACATGACCAGGATGACACAAGTAAAGGATACTTGTAACAGGGTAGGAATTCACAAAGATAAGAGAGTACAACAGGTAGTGGCAGCTGTCCTCCAGCAAAGCCTGGGCCAGAAACGCCCTGCTAAGCTGAAAGTGCGGTAGCCTTTGGTGTAGTCGGAGTGCGCTAGTAAGAGCATTTGCCAGCAAGGCACGCTGATAAAAGCTTGCTGCTTCATGCAACCTGCAAATCATCAGAGGAGATGTTACCATATGAACCAAGCCCCTGCTCAGAAGTCTCCCACCCCTGAGAATTGCATCACGACTGCACAACGCCTGAAGTATTTCTATTATCAGACATAAGCACTATTATCAAAATACAACTCAAAAGCTAATAACTACTGACCTACTGTAGGAGCCAAAGGTAAAACAACTCAACATATTACTCCATAACTACACATAAAAGCATGCATTTGCCACTACTTTACAGTCACTCAACACATTTTCCAGAAGTGTTTTAAACCAATCTAAAAATCTGTAAACTGGTCTGACAAAAAGCATCCAAGTAAGCTGAATAATAGAAATTTACCCTTACATGAAAAGCAACTCTATGAAAAGGGAGAGTAGTTACTTTGTAAGTTTTTAATGCTATTTTACAATATTACAATACATACCCTAGAAGAGGCAGGACAAATAAAGCTGAGCAGTAAACTGTGAACAAGCGGGAAATCCACATTGCTGTATCCAACTTGTTAGCCATCAGAAATTGCTATGTTAGAAGAAGAAAAGAAAAAAAACCCAACCCCCACAGAAGTTGGTATCTTAATTTTTGCACACAATGAACATTCTTCCCTTCTATATTAAATTGCAAGTCTTTCTCCAACCCTGGATAGAAGCAAAGAACACGTTTCTGTTCTGTGACACTTGACTCATACGATGGTACTAACCAGATGAAAAATAGCTACGCTTCCTCAGAACCTAAAGGCTTCTTTGCACACTACAATCCAAAATATTGGTGAGAACTTCTGTGAAGACAGTTTTTTTATACAAACCAACCTCACTAAACAGCCAGCTTCAAAAATGTTATCATGCCAGGTCTTTAGATCTGACTGACTTTTGTACCTATTGCTTCGAGGTTCCTTTTAGAAAAATTGCAGACACCTGAGGCTAACTCCCCACAATTCTCACTGGTGAGAAAAAAAAAAAAGAAGGGATCAGATAAAGTTAGCATTACTACATCATAAGGAAACTGGCATCGTTTTGGCCTACATACTCTTGGCCTCGAAAAAGCAAAAGGCTTTTAACAGCAATCTAGCACCTCTCCTGTTGACCTCTCCTTAACCACAGCCCTCTTCACTCCTGATACAGCCCCCACACCAGAACGGCTCCAATGAAACATAGCATGCTCTCGGCTATTAGGGGCCTAAGAGTCAAAACATCAGCTTCCTTTCACCTGAAAGAGCTCAAAATTTTTTTTCCGAATTCGAACCAGCTTTTGAAGACTGCTCTCTTCCTTTACGTTCCTAACCCTTTTTACGAAAGCGACCAGAAATTAACCCAACAGCCTCTCCGCATCGTTACCTATTGTCTTACTTGTGCAACGTAACTACAGACATACAGCTGCTGCCGCGCGGAATTAGTCCTGACGGA